GAACCCCTGAAAAACTCGGATGGAACTGTGACAAAACTAAAAAGGAAGATACTGGACCCAAGCATTACATCACTGTTGATTTGAATCATTCATCTCCTCAGAAAGTCATAGAATTGATAGTTACATCCCTTGACCGAGTACTACCCAAGCTTGGTACTTATCTTTTCAATGTATCTGAACCCCAGTCCGTCTCTTGGCTCGGTATCACTCTTACTCCAAAATCTTACATCCGCGAGCAAAAGTACAACCTTCACAATAAAACAGAATGGAATGATTTCAAGAAACTATGTATCGATTCCCAACCAAACTCCGTTGGACTTCTAGCTCAGATGGCCAATCCCGAACTCCAGGTTGCTGTAGAACGTAGGAGAGAGAAAGTCAGCGGCTATATAGGCTCATGGAATACTCAACAAGCGATTGCTCAAAACCAGCCTGGTGGTTTGGCAAATTCACCGCCAACTAACCCTGAACACTTACCTTCGCGTGTTACTGCTGAATTAAAAGAGATTCTAACTAAAAACGGCACTGAACAATGTCTACTCAGACATCCTACAGACTCCAAGAAATGGACAGTTATGACGCCTCGCAAGATCAAAATCTGGGTCGATGAGATTGTAAGTTGATTTTTTTGATATCATTTACTGTAATTTTGCTCACGAGACTCCACCATATTCAGATAGCAGCACGTAAAGAAGGTCGTAACAATATCACCGTAGACATTCCACCTCCCTTACCGTGCTTCAAGACATTCATCGGTGGAAGACTTCCTCCAGGCTATCGAGAGTTTCCAGACGATCCCCCACCAGCTGGATTCATGGCTGCTGCTCCAGCACCTATAGTACAAAACGAAGTCACTCTGATCGCCCCAGCTCAAGTAATTGATGACCGTATCTATCAAAGAAAGTACTCTGGAACCTTTGAAGAATTTTTAGATTATGCTGATTTTCCTGAAAGCGATACCAGCTTGAGGGCAAACTTAAATACAGGGCATTACACTCGTTGGAGCGATCTCAAGCCAGGTCCTGATATGAACATTGCTGAATTAAAGCTTATCGGAATCCCTCCAGGCGATGCAAGTCATCTCCTTTCTAGTGCAGTTAGGTACGAGAAGTTTTTGATGGAAAAGCTTGCTGCACTGGATGCGCAACAGCTTTGATTCATCAGTGCAATCTGCTTCCATTTCTCTCAGTTTTTATTTTATCTTTTATTTAGAACGGCTTTAATCTATTGCATTCCTCCTGTCTACAATGTTCTGCTTTGATAGCTTGATTTTTTGTTCGTTCTTTGTTTGGGTTTCTTCTGCTTTGATAGCTTGTCTTTTTGTTTGTTCTTTGTTTGGGTTTCTTCTCCTTTGATAGCTCGTTTTTTTCTTTGTTCTTTATTTTGTTTTCTTCTGCTTTGATAGCTTGTTCTTTTGTTCGTTCTTTATTTTGTTTTTCTTCTGCTTTGATAGCTTGTTCTTTTGTTCGTTCTTTATTTTGTTTTTCTTCAATCTCTCATTAGTATTTGCTTTTGATCTTATTAGCGTCTGGCTCATTTTCTTTGTAATCAAAAGTACCAATAAAAAAGTTTTTGCTTGGCTTCCAATAACCAAAGCAGTGAGATTGAGCCAACACCACGCATACATAAAGGCCATGAAAGACATTCGAATGAACATTTCAATTTTTATTATTTATATCAGAATGTCAACCTCAATAAACTTGCTTAGATATGTCAATCAGAAAAAGCAACTTTAATGATTGGCAAATAGAAACCTAATGGTGCTCTTAAGAAGACTGAAGGAGCATTGCAAATTGTATTAGAGCAAATAAATGACAACATCGTGTCTTTTCACATACAAAGTCACCAAACAACATCCAGTACAACTGCCATCATACTAAAATTCAAAGAAAATACACTGCTCTGACTAATTGAAGTTCACCAAAAGATCTTGATTGATATAATCATGATTTAGATTTGAACTATGAGGTAATTTACAATGAAGGGGTACATTTTGATTCATTCATTTGAAATAAATTTCCGAGGATAAGTCTTGAGAGACTGGTCAAGAGTGTGGTGTATGAGTCGATTAAAGAATTGTTTTATCCATCAAAGGAAATTCATTCGATGTATGATCAGTTTATGAAATATGATCGGATCTCATATTGAATGAACTTACTTTTC